TGAATTACATTTATTCGTATTTTATATGCGCAGTTTCCAGTTCTCAGTTTGCAGTTCACAGTTCTGATATGCACGAACAAACACACACACAGCAACACATGCACGCCTGCACGTCTGCCTGTGAGCATCACAACCCGAGCTCTTCAAGGAGACCCTTAGACACCGTAGGACTGGAGAGGAACATCTCCCCCTCATCGGCAACCTCACTGCCAGACCCACTGGACAGTTCTGGATCCCCATCACTCATAAATGCCTCGCTGGCCTCCTCTTCGTCATCTTCCCCCTCATCAGCCGGCTCCTCATCGCTCTCAACATCACTATCCAAGCATGGCACTGTAGTGCGTGAAACCCCCATAAGGGTTTTTAGGGTGGGGGCCGCAGTGCCAGATGCGTAAACATCAGATGCATCGCTGAAATCCATGACCTCAAAAGGCTGAGCAAGTAGCCGCACTCGCATCAAGGAGTCAATGGTAACCACACGCAAGCGGTTCCGGAGACGATCCTTGATGATGCGGTGCAAGGAAAAGCCGCGCTCCACACAGGCCGTTTGCAGCGGCACAACCATAGCGACGAAGATAAACTGCACGACGTTGGGCATGGACGACAGGTGCTCCTTAACAATGTGGCACCACAAATGGCTGCACTCCGCCCATTCATTCTGGTTGCTATACTCGTACATAACGGCCTTAGCAACCTCCCACTCCTCAAGGACCCGAGGGAGATTCTTATCAGTGAGCTCAAACAACTGATTTGCCTGCGACTTGCTACAGAAATTCTTAAGCAGCACCCTGAACTCTTCTTTGCCAAAGGACTTTACTTTGTCCTTCGGCATCCCCTGATATGATTTGGGATCGAAGATTTTGAAAGCATCTAACACTTCTGACTCCACAAACCGCTCATCAAGATGCGAACAGACCTCAGCAACAAACTCAATCGCAAAGTCCTCCAACTCGTCGAGATCTATTTCGCCCTCTAACGGAATCTTCTTGCCCTTCTTCGCATGCCAATTGCCTCGGGTACTGAAGGCGCGCAGAAACCCACAAAGGGCCTCGGCATTGCGTAGCTGGCCCTCAGCCTCGCTCTCGGTTACTCGTGATAACTTGCTTCGCGCGGTATTTACTAGAATGGAAACCTTGTGCGGCACCAACTTCGAATCAGACTGAAACTGCTGGCTCAAAACACTCATGGGCTTCAGCAGATCGCACATGAGGAAGAGCATTGCCACAGTCTGGGCACACGATAGGGCCTTAAGCAAGGCAGGCACGTTATCCCACTGGGCGCCTTGGCTGCGGATAAACAGGAGCAGCACATCCAGATTGAGCACCAGCACCAGCACCGACGACCCACGGCACCCGATCGGGTGGTCCTAGCGCCCCTAACCATGTCGGGTCCCCCGACGGGGGCCCTCCGGGCCCCGACGGGGGCTCCCGATGGCCGTTTGGCATTTTCCCCCTTTTTCGTCGGGTCCGCCCGAAAGCATTTTCAAAGCCTGTCGGGATTTTCAGGACAAGTGCCATTCCTGTCGGGACCCGATCGGGCTGTCTCACCCTGCATTGCTTAAACGTCATCGCGTGATCCGTACTCACTACTAACTTATTGTGGGGAAGGCCATTGCCACACTCCCGCGGTACCCAAACCCTTCAAAGATAACTCCGACCAGCCATTTGGCTGTTAGTGGGAGGGCGGGTGGGCCGCTCGCACGGCAATCGAGTAGAGAGTACGAAATAACCTTATGCAGTCATCGCCAACAGAAAACGTAAGCCTCCAGCCTCACGCCGACTGCCTACCATCTACCATTCATATTTCCTACCTCGTTAACAGGTCTCCGCCGCATTGCCTCTAGTTCGGCTCGTCCCTCAGGTAACTTCGCTCGTCGCTACTTTGCCATTCTTAGGGTTGGCACTCATCTAAAGTCGTTTTTCTAATCTACATATTTATCTTGAGAATCTCAATGAGAATTTAGAAGGTCTTTTTTGGCACTTGAGGAGACGGTTGGGTCGTCATCTAATGTACGGCACTATAATTCTTTATAAATCTTTAGAAGCCATATATTTCCTTACTAGACACTCAGAACAAAATTGAATACCGAAAATGGCAGACACTAGCACTGCCCCAAACCAGGGGCAGAGCCAGGAGTCCGAAGATAACAAACCGAGAGAGTACACGTATGCCAAGAAGAAGTATTCGATTCAGGCATATTATGAGAAGCTGCAAGAGGTGAAGAGGAGGAATTGTGCCGACTGGTGGAAGGTTAAGCAGTTGGCGGCAGAGGTGTAAGGGTGAGGGCAGCACTGAGGAGCAGAGGGAGCGCAATAAGGCGGCAAAGAAGGGGGTCTTGTTGAAGGAGTTTGGAAACCTCCTGCTGGCCGGGGTACCGGATGAGTGCCGTGATTTCATGCCAACGCTGACTGCACGCAAGGAGGTCGAGCAGACGGTTGGCAAGTCGAAGGTGAAGAAGGTTGAGCTGGCCGGGCTGCCGTTGCGCCTGAAGTTTTGGACGGTGCATATGGCGGATTCGTATCCGGCCCTGGCCTTCGTGGCCAACCGCGTCCTCCGCATGCACGCAACCACCTGCGCATCAGAGCGCAACTGGTCGCTGTGGGGCAAACCTGTTCCACAAGGCCCGCAACCGCCTGGGGCAGATGCGTGCGATGAAGCTCATCTTCATCCGCCAGAACGACAGCTACGCGGCCAAGCGCAACACCCTGTCGGATGAGGTGGTGATGCAGCTGCTGGCCGGGGATGAGGAGGAGTGAAGTAGCTAGGGATTTAAGTTGTTCGGTCGGCATTGGTAGCAGTCTATGTCTGCTGAACTTGGCCAGCATGGGATCTTGATGGCATACCATGTCGGCTTTTGTGCATTGCCAGGGCTTAGGAATGATGATCTGGGCCCTGATTCGTTGAAACCTGAACCCTTAGGATATGGAGTTAAAGAAGCATCAAAGGGATAAGCGCCTGTGACGTGTACTCGACCGTCCAGTGCGCCCTCGCATGCTTTGACCCATGGGTCAATACTGCGGCGGAGTATAATGGCTTGTTTCTGTCGTGCAATTGTGCTTCGCAACGTCCCAAAACTTAATTATTATAACAAATAGGGGGGTCCTTGTGAAGCAGCTGCCCGCGTTTCTAAAGCACGTATGGTGTTGGATTGTAAGGTGCCCAAGTACGTTTGCGAGGAAGAGAATGTGGCCAGGCTGGAGAGGAAAGTGCAGTGGCATATTGGAATGTGAGATTAGCGTAAGCGAGTTACAGGGCGTTTTATTGCACGGGCGAATTTACGTGCAAATCTTTCACCGTAGCATCAGTCCTCAGTTCATTTCTTGGAACGAACATCAGCATAGGTGCAAGCCCTCTCGCTTGGGGGGATATGCAAACAAACATCCTGATAGGGGTAAACTCGCACGCTACCGAGCATTCAACCGAGCACATGCATGCTTAGTTGAATGGTGAGATGCGACCCCCCCTTCATTTCGTGCTCGGCAAGCCTGCCACCGCGTACCGGATATGTTGGCGATGTTACAGAACGCTGCACCTTGGTTTCTGTGCGCAATGCGTACGATGCTCGACCCCGCCGACCAAAACTACACGTGCCCAACTGAAGACATTCCCGGTGGTTGTGCAGCAGCTCTTGAGGCTGTTGCTGGCTGAAATCCATCCTGAGCTGTTGCAACACGGCTAACGCGGGCACGTCCCTATGCACAGCAAATAGCTGTTCCAAGCCAACAGCGGCGTCCATGTCACCGACAAGGCTCTAAACGTCTTATCTGTTCTTATGTTTAATTAAGTTTATGTATGTTATACTTTGCGCAACTTTGTAATTTGACTTTACTCTGAACAAGGTGCTGCATACAACTGCCTCTTCGCCAGCGCTTCATCTTCCGCGGCAGTTTCACGAGCCCAGAGTTGCAAGCTACGACGTTGGCTTTCGGTGCTTTTGTTACTGCAAAGCAGCCACGCAATAGTCCGGCCTGCATTCCGCGTGCGGCTGTTTCTAACATGCCCACCTGCGCAACGCGCTGGCGCACCTCGGCCTTTTCGCCAAAAAAATATATACACTTGTACACGCGCAATTTGTGAATCGCACGCGCGCACCCGCGCGGTGAAATTCGCTCCTGGCTTTTGGGGCGTGATGTACGGACCTTTTATTCGCGAAGTACGACCGGACACATTTCTGCGAGGGGCTGCTTAAAGATGGGGGCCCTTGTGAAGCAGCTGCCCGCGTTTCCAAAGCACGTATGGTGATGTGGAAGGTGCAGAAGTACGTCGGTGAAATATAATGTGGTAGGACTGGAGAGAATAGTGTAGCAGTATAATGTATTGTGAGTGTAGCTGAAGCTTTCATCGTGGGCGCGTCTCGTTGCAAGCTAAGCAACGCGTATACATGACGTGTAGCATCAGTCCTCAGTTCACTTCTTGTAACGAACATCAGCATAGGTCCAAGACCTCTCGCTTGGAGGGATATATGCAACAAAACATCCTGATAGGTAAACTCGCATGCTACCGAGCATTCAACCGAGCACATGCATGCTTAGTTGAATGGTGAGATGCGACCCCCCTTCATTTCGTGCTCGGCAAGCCTGCTACCGCGTACCGGATATGTTGGCGATGTTACAGAGACGCTGCACCTTGGTTTCTGTGCGCAATGCATACGATGCTCGACCCCGCCGACCAAAACTACACGTGCCCAACTGAAGACACACCGGTGGTTGTGCAGCAGCTCTTGAGGCTTTGTTGGCTGAAATCCATCCTGAGACGCTGCACCTCGGTACCTGTGCGCAATGCGTACGCTGCTCGCCCGCGCCGACCAAAACTACATGTTCCCATCTGAAGACAATGCCGGTGGTTCTTAAACAGAATTTGAGCTTGCTGCTGGCTCAAGTCCTTCCGTAGTTGCTGCAACACGGCTAACGCAGGCACGGCCGAATGCGCTGCGAAAAGCTGTTCCAAGCCCTCAGCGGCATCCATTTTACTTGCAAGGTTCTGAACGACTTTCGCGATTCTTCTCTTTACCTAATTCTGCGTTGTTATTATTTATTTCGTAAGAGTGTAACTTGAGTTTAGTGGGAACAATGTGCATTATGCGCTGCGCTACCGAAAGCAGGCGCCTTATGGCTGATTCTTCGCCGACCGCTTCATCTTCCGCGGCAGTTTCACGAGCCCAGTGTTGCAAGCTACGACGTAGGCTTTCGGTGCTTTCAGATACTGCAAAGCAGCCACGCAATAGTCCAGCCTGCATGCCGGGTGCGACTATGGCCAACAAGACCACCTGCGCAATGCGCTGGCGCACCTTCAAGAAATTTATATACACTTGTACAGGCGCATTTTGTGAATCGCACGCGCGCATCTGCGCGGCAAAATTCGCTCCTGGGTTCTTTGGGACGAGTGTACGAACACTTTATTCGCGAAGTACGACCGGACACATTTGTGCGAGGGGCTGCTTAAATATACCATACAGAATCATCCTACAAAGTTTCAGAGCCAGTCATGCATTTCCCAGAAAGCTGCCAAAACTTGAGATTAGAATCTAACCCATTCTATTGAGATCTAATGAGATCTCAATAGATTAAGATGAGAAGACTTTTCTTTCTAAACCGAGGGGATACCCTAGCCATTCTCCTTCGCCTCCACCCCGCCTCTGCTTCTCCACAGAAGCGGCGTTCTCCTTCACCACTGTTACGCCTCGTCTATGCGGCTCCTCCTCATCCGACTGGGTCCTCTGCCTACCCGGTGCGCGCCCCCATCTCTCTGCGCATCCGTTCCTCCGGCCCTCTCTTACGGCTGCCTACCTGACTGCAGGACTCACTCCTTGCCTGTCCGGTGCCGGGTAGGCTTTCCTTGCCTCCCCCGGCCCTACTTGGGGCGCCTCTCCTTGGCTCGTCATCTTCCTTGCTTCCGTCCGTTCCTGTCCCTCGGGGGCCTAACCCCTCCGCAACTTCTGTGGGCCTGATCCCCGCTCTGGACTTGTCTCACGCCCCCGGCCTCTCTGATGCTGCCATAGCCCGTCAGGAGGCTGCTGGTCGTGACCTCTCTGCATGGCTGGCCTCCCTGCCCCATGGCCATACCCTGCTGTCCTGCACTGATGACGACCTACTCGTCTACCTGGAGGCGCACTGGCTCCCCAATCGTCATGTGGATGACCCGAGTCCCAACACCGTCAACAATCATCTGGGTCTGCTCTCTGGACTGTTTAACCGCTTGGGCCGTGGCAGCACTTACGACCGTGTAACCAGCATCGGCAACCCCTGCTGCTCCAGCGCCTTGTCCTCCTACAAGACTGGCTATAGTCGCCTCGCAGCCGACCGTGGCTATGAGGAGCAAGCCACCGTACCACTTAGCCCTAGCGACTTCACCACCCTCATGGATCACCTCTGGTCCGGATTCCAGGCTTCCACCACCTCCCTAGCCCGGCTGCTGTTACTACGCGACCTGTTGTGCTGCCAATTCATGTGGCACACCAGCTACCGCGGCCATGACACAGGCAAACTGCGGCTACATGACTTCCGTGACCCGCATGGTGGGGGTCCCTTCCGTGGGTTTCCCCTGCCTCTACCGGACCCGTTTGGTGCCTACCCCTCCCTTTCCTTACGGATTGAGCAACTCGGGACCAAAACATCCAAGGGGCGCCGAGCTCCCCCTTTGGAACTGCGCCCCGACCCCTCTCCGCGACATTGCTTCATCCGCACCCTCGCCCTCTATTGGCAGCTGTGCCATGCCCCCGACGCCCCCCCAGGGTCTGCAATCTCCGACTACCTCTTCCGTCCCACTGACCGGGGTCACCAACGCTTCGTGGAGTGTCCATTTTCCAGCAGCGCATTAGCCATGCGAGTGGGCAAACACCTGGAGGAGGCTGGTGTCTACGTCGGGCAGACCCCTCATGGGTTTCGTCGTGGTACTATCCAGGCCACGCAGGCCGCTGGCGCCTCCCGCACGGAGCTCCACACGTTCTCTCAGATCCGCAGCACTCAAGTCCTGGAGCGTTATACCGACGCCTCTCGGCCCACTCGTGTCCCTCGCGGCTCCGGTCCCAAATCCTAGCCTCCGCCTCCTGCTGGTGCCGCCCCTCTTAGCCCTGGTGCTCACTTCGTGGCTCGTCCTCCTCCCCTCTCCCCACCACATCGACGGGCGGGTGGGAGGGGTTCTGACTTGCACTTGCTTGCACGGTTGACTGGCGAACTTGCGTTGTCTGGATTTAGCACTTTGTTCTCCGCTAATCTTTGTAACGAACTACAGTATCAGTCCCTGTCCTCTGGCCAGTTCTGGTCTGCGCCTTCCTGTGCCGCACTTGCCGTACTGCACTACAGGACGAGCACTTAATCAACATGCATTGCTTAAACGTCATTGCATGATCCGTACTCACTACTAACTTATTGTGGGGAAGGCCATTGCGTCTGCGACCACACTCCTGCGGTACCCAAACCCTTCAAAGATAACTCCGACCAGCCCCAAAACACACCGTGGAGCGGTCTCCCCTTCCCCACTCACTTCCCAGGTGGTACCCTGGGTCCTCTCGCTCACCAGCCCCTCCTCCCCTTGGCCCTTGTGACATCTGCCAGGCGTTCTTGCTGCACAGGCCGGTATTTCAGGAAACAAGTACCTCGGATGGATGTAGAGGCGCAGCTTGCCCTCATTTCCCACCACTCGCAGGCCGTTGATAAGCGTGGGTGTAGTGCATTAGCTGGGCATTCCAGTATCCCACCGCAGAGAGCCGTGCTTAACTCGGCTGTAACGACGCCGCTGTGGGAACTGCACTGCGTGCGGCCGGTGACCTGCCATTATTATTTCCGGGTTGCAGTCCAGCATCACGACCTGCAGCAACTCCTGCACAATAGCTAGCTTGCAGTCCCGCTCGGGCACTATTTGTTGTCCTGGGTGTGCGCACGACACCCACTCCAGCTGGAGCCCTCCCTCCAGGTGGCCTAGCCAACGTCTCTGTCCGTGAGCGGGCAGCCTTCCTTAGCTGCCTGGAAGAACTCTCACCACACTGCTACATGTGTAAGTAGCTTTCCTGGCTGGTAGTCCTCGGGTCTGGAAGCAAAAGACGATCTCTTCTACAACTCTTTCTCATTCTGCTGATCTACTGCGTCATGTCGCCCTAGAGGCCGTAGCCTCTGTCCCGCCTCCTGTAGCAGCTGTATGCCTCGCTGCGCGCTTCCTTGGGTGTCCCTGCTCCCCTTGCTGTGTTCGTCCTGCGACGCCGGGTTCTCCCCTTTCTGCTCCTCACTCACCCACTTGCTGCCTTCACAAGGGTCATCGTTTCACGACAGCAGTTCGTCCAGATCAGCTCCCTCCTCCTCCCGGGTGTCCGTGTGGTAGCCAGTGCTAGATCCTCCGGCTCCTTCCCCCTTCTATCCCTCGCTTGATCGCAGTTAACACAGTCAGCCTGGGCCTCTGGGCTTGGGTCTCCTTGCGCGGTGCCTCGTTGTGGCTAATCAAGGCGTCCACCCGTTGGGCCAACCGTACTGCCTCTGTTGCTGGGTGTTAATACCGGCAGCGCTGCCCAACCTGCACTTTAACACAGGGCCCCTTCCCCGTGTAGCTAGTACACAAGTCAGTGCCATTCACATGGCCCCTGTACACGCTCTCCGTAATCTGCTCTTCGCCCACTCCCTGGTTTAGAGCCACCACTACACTGGCAGGCGGGCTCAGCCGCGGTCCATCGCGGCCCCCTCACCGTGAGGCGTTCCCAGTCCCGGGTTTACTAGGCCCTGGTAGCCCGCACCCACCGGGCTACGACTTGCGCTCCTCTGGTCGTGGAAGCCGGGAACCCCCGATTGCCGCCCTTCCCATGCCGTTCTGCTGCCCACACTCATCCTGCGCTCGATGTCAACCTCCTCCTAAATTCCTTAGTAGGCTGTGAGTCAGCTGCCATGCGCCTCTGGTAACTTCACAGCCGTGCGCGTGAACAGTACCACGGCCGGCCAGGTTCACTCCCGCAACTCCTTAACATCGGAGGCTGACATCCACAGCCTGGAGGGCCGCCTCTAACCCGAACACCCGGAATTCGCGGGCCTGCTGCTGTAGCTTGAACACCCTCGTCTCCACGGGGATCCTCA